TTTTGGCCTCAGAACACTTTAGGCCATATTTGTGTATTTCTCAAAAAATAAAAAAAAATTGTGTGCAGACAAAAACTCCTCCAGGATGAAATTTTATTAAAATATGTTTTAAAAAATAGTTATAATCAGGAAGTAAGTTTTTCACAGTTTGCTAGGAGTTATGCTGAACTTCAAGATCAGTTTTTCTGCAAAAACTACTTGGTAGCATTGAATCTTCATAGCTTAAACAATTGAATGCCACAGACTTGCAGTATGCCTCGTGTACATTGCACTTAATTCTGTTGCTTACATATATAGGTTTCTATTTCTGTGTTTAATAAAATAGAATTTTCAAACTAAAAATGCTAGGAACCCAAGTTGTCTAGATAATGGCCATTTATAGGTTTTGTCAACTCTTAAACATTCAATTTCAACAACTTGATTTATGCTAAATTGAAGGAACTGTGCAACAAGGATGTGGCTTATGTATCAATTATGTTTGGACTGTAGTATCCTATTTATATAGGATGGAAGAATAATGCTTTGAATGCCATTTGTGGAGATGAAATTTTGTTTAGAAATGGACAACTGCTGTCATATGGAAACTGGATTTTTCTTCTTGGTGGAGACAAAGAGAGCTTTCATCTGCAATGGCTGTTACAGAACAGGGGGATTTTGGTAGGCTGAATTGACTATACAAATATTCAGGGTTAGATTTCACTTTAATAGCAGTTCCTCAGCAGTAGTTATTAGTTGGCTTGTGATGTTTCCCCCTCCAACATCCCCTTGCCCCCCCCCCCAGTTTTCTGCAATTTTGTCTTTCTCCTGCTGTAGAGGGAATATATGATCTTTCGGGTTGCTTGTTTATCTTCATGACTCCATTTCTATTGCAAGATAATGTTATTCTTTTAGCACCTTGCTTGTCTTACCTTTTAACATTTATGGACACTGATTATGCTGATACAGTTTGTTAGGGAATGAACAGTAGTTGAATTCACCTTTCAGTGACTCTGAACAAGTTGTGTTCCCACGTTTTAAATGTGGTTTTCTATTCCCAGGTGCAGTTTAATGATGGGTCTCCAGCTGAGAAGTACAATTTAAAATGGCAAATAAGAGACTAAAGTTAGGGAGAAAGGTTTCATACAGTGCCAAAAATTCTTAATTTTTCTAAAAGCTAAATTTCATTTGTTCCACAAATATTTTGAAAAATTAACTTGTATATGTGTGTGCATATTTAGTATATGACACACATGCTTTATTACTGCCATTATTGAAATAATAAATTAGTGTTAGGCTATGCTGGCTGGATAATCAAAAGGAGAAACAGTACATGTTCTCCTGGCTTTCAAGAAAAGCAGTAATAACTGATGTTATGTTACTTGCTTGTCTTCTTAAAATCCAGTCTTAAATGTTTTGGGGTAAATGTTACTTTAAGAAGGTAGGTTTCATTTTTTATGGATGTTACCAGTTCAGCTTTCATTGTGCAAGGTATGCTTCTGTCAGTAAGTAATAAACAGCTTTTGTCATGGTTGCTTGCCCTACTGCTTGAAAACTGTCTTTGAGTATTTACATAGCATTGAGAATGCTTGTTGCCAGTCCCCCCTCATCCTGCCCCACCCCCTTTTTCTGATTGCCATACATCTTCTAGTGCATAATTCTGTATCTTCTTGCATATATTATTTTGAGATATCTATATATCTGCTTTTTCACTTAAAATTTTAGCAAAGGCACTTGCCTATATAGCTCTTTTTTACAGTAAGTAAAAAAAGTTTAGAGAATAGTTTAGTAGATGTTTCATTTAAGATAGCTTAAAAAATAAAAGTGTCTGAGACTTGTATGTATGAGTTAAGTTAAAGCTGTTAACTGCTCTTTAGGAAAAGATACATATATTACAACAGAATAATTCTTTTAAATTTGTTCTTTAAACCTACTGCAGCAAAAGTGGAAAAACTGTAAAATGCAAATACTAGGTAGCAATGCTGATAGATGGAAAAATAATTTATTTAGGTACTACAATACTTATTAAAGGAGCATTTGTTTGCAAATACATTCATATGAGTGATTATATACTGGCCAGTGATACTTGTACTATTAACATCAGGATTACCTAAAGCCTGATCCAAATACAAGCTTTAGTTTTAAAAAAAATTTTTTTGGACATTCTGCTGTGGAAAACTTAATATGCCAAAATTACATGTTGAAAACCACACAACAGACAAAACAGTTCTGTAAGTACCAATCTGAGCATTCATGGTATATGCTTTTCTGGTGATATAATCAAAACAGAGGTTCCTTATCAGTTTCAGAAAATCTTTTAGCTTAACAATTTTAGTTTCACTTTCTCATTTCTCATTGTTAATGTTTCATATTTAATTTTTGAAACTTGTAGTGAATTCAAATTATTTAGAAAGCTTAAGTGTCAAGGGCCTTGGAAATCTAATTTCAGTACCACTGTAATTCTTTTATCCTTTGGAAGTTTGCTTGTAATGTGTTGTTTGTCATACATTGGTAAACCTGTCACACTTTACAATGTTTTCTAGGTTTTTTTTTGTAGAGATTTAAATTGAGAATTAGGGAAGACTATTGTGTAATGAGCTTCAGGTGAAAGATTGAAGTACTTTTGCATAAACTTGGCTGTTGCTCTGTTATTTTGAACAGGCGAAATCTGGCTATCTGGAAGCCCAGTCTTGCTACATTTTCAAAAATGATACAAATTAGAGCCTAGTGTAGACTAAGGATGGACTTCAGATCCTGGTTCAGTGTGTATTTTTTAAAATTTTACTCTTCTGTGTTCCATCAAAATTTGTCCTTCTGTGCAGCAGACCAAAACAAAATATATACTACTGCATGGATTTGACCCCTTCTAAGCATTGTCAGTTGGAGATAACTGCTAGATGAATTTTGACCAGTTCCCATGTTGTTAGATTTTTATTGTTTTGTCTGCTATTGTAAGTTGGAAAAGACTTAGAAAGTGTTCCACAATGCAAGAACTTTTTAAAAAGCTCAGTCCTGGAATTTTTGGGCGGGGGGTGAAGTTAAGGGATGACCTGCCCCTGAGGCATACTATTTGTAACTAAGAGAATATCTTGAATTTTAGATTTAACTAAATCTAAAGTTAGATAGCTGAAGTGAAAGGTAGAAACATTCAAATTAGAATGAAGAGGGTTAGCTGTTAAAACAAGGTATAAGGGAGTGATGGAAACCATTCCTGATTTATAGATTTATCTTTTTTCCATCAGTTTCTTTAATGGAAGTATGGACCTTATTCTTGAAAAAGTAAAAAGTTTGTTCATAGGTTTGGTCAGAGATGCTAAGTTTGCCAGTTTTCCTATTAACATTGAAAAGGTAGTTAAATGTCTTACCTGGTTTGGCTTTTCAAAACCAAATTTGGAGTGTGGAAGTTCTTGACTTCTGAAAATAAGAGTGCATTTCATTGTATGTTTTTAATCTTGAGTAAGTTGTCTTGGTTTAGGCAAACTGAGTTAAGAACCTGAATTCTTGATTATGATTTAGGCATACCCTTAGCAAAACTTTCTGTACTCAAGTCAGTCATAAATGAATGCAATATTTTTATACAGGCAATCAGATCAGGTGTAGATGACTTTCCTGGCACAAACTCAGAATTATGGTCGGTAGTTGCAGCTGAGTGACAGTTGAGGACTTTCTTATTCTCTTCCCTCTGGAAATCGCAGCCGTGAACTTTCTTATGAAGATGAGGCTCTTTGAGGATTTAGCATAAATGCTTTCTATTGATTCCCCTTCTCCCTACTTATTGTTTCTACTTAAGTGAGTAAATAAAAGTAGTCTTGTTCATAATTATTTTTAAAATGCTCTCTGGAATAAGTCCTCAGTCGTGAATTTGAACCCAAATAATTAAAAATATTTTTCTACTAGTCACTATTTGTGTGCTTTTTTGAAATACAGCTGGCTATTGAACTGCTGTTCTAATATGAAATCAGAGGATGTATAGCTCAGACACTTGCATGTTTTGTAGCCAGAAGTAGAAGAAGGGAAGTCTTAACACTTGCTTCTCTCACATTCTGTTTTCCATCATTTTTTTCAATTTTTTTTTTCTGGCTTTCTTTCCAAAGCCAGAATACTTCCATCTAGCTGGCTAGCTCTTTATTGCATATGTTCAAGAAAAAGGAACTCAAACTGGAATTTTTCTGGAATTCTGTACAAGAATTCTGTACAGTATTCCAAATAGTATCATTCTGGTGCTTTGTGCAATGAAGTTAGTGCTTCCCTGCTTCTTCTAGGAAAATCTTCTCTGCCCACCCCCCCTCCCCC